CACCATCAGTGAGCTGTTGGACAGCATTACTTGGTCTGTTGTGTGGATGTTTGGGTGGTTTAGGAGTGGGGAATTTGTGGTGGGTGGAGGTGTGTTTGGGGATTGTTATGTGTGTTGGACCTCGTCTTTGGGTGTTAAGTGTATTTCGTTGTATGGGTATACTGTGTATACACGTACAATGACAATAAAGTTATTATTATTATTATTTCCTGGTCTGTGAGATAAATATGTTTCCCCCCCACTTGTTTTCCTTATTCAAAAACGTTGTCAACTAAAGGCAAGTGTTTCCAGATTAAAATTGACATAATTTGTATTCTCTGTCTTGCACCAAACTCAGACATACAAACAAATAAATAAACATATGAGCAGTATTCTAAAAAAACATCTTACCTTTAGATTTGCTTTTGTACATAAAGGTCTTTTCATATGTAACATACTACTATGTTAATAATGCTAAGGCACAGCTTTGCTAACTCAGGACTAGTTAGGTATTTGGGGAAAGTCAATGCCAAATTTTTCTGGTTTATATATGTATTAAAAATATACAAACCAATTTAGTGCATTATTAACAATGTGCATTTGTCTCAGGTTTGTGATATGGTTAGCAGGTAGCACTGCAAAACATGAACTGGATCAAAACCTGGACAAAATTCAAATATTCATGAACATGAGGTATAAATAGATGCATTTTTTTCTTAGTCCTTTGCAAAGATATATTTATAGGCAAAACTGATAAAATGCCTTGGTTTGGAGAATTAGGCCCCAAGTTACATGCAAATTGTTGTGCGGGGTTTTATAAAAAGGTAATAGTGAAGGCATATCACTCAAATTTGACAGGTTCAGAAAAATGAGAAAATGAAAGAGAACAAAATCGGCGTAATCACCAATCCACTGGATTGATAATCTCATAGATGCCAGATGCTTTTTAATTATACATTTTATTTTTAGGCCCTGTACATCTGGTCCTCTAACTTATATACCATTCACCATGGTAATCATTATTCACTTAATCAGCAAATATATTTCCATTTTGGATAAGTCATTAGAAGTAGAAATACAGAAAGCTCCCTGTTCTGTAGAATGGAAACACTATCATTTGTGATGCCAATACGCGTGATAGCCATGGTGGCACAGTGGTTAGAATGCAATATTGTAGCTAAATCTGCCCACAGCCAGGAGTTTGATCCTAACCAGCTCAAGGTTGACTCAGCCTTTCTATCTTTCCAAGGTCAGTAAAATGAGAACACAGATTTTTGGGGGCAATATGCTGACATTGTAAACCATTTAGAGCAGGGCTGTCAAAGTCCTGGCCCATGGACCGGATGCATCACACGCTGGCCATGCCCACGCCCGGTTTAATGAAGGAGAAAAAAGTTCTGATACATCATGTGATGCTGTCGTGACAACATGAGTTTGACACCCCTGATTTAGAGAGTGCTATAAAATGTTATGGGGTGATACATAAGTCTAAGTGCTATTGCTAATTACTTCCTCCTGCTTTAGCAAAGAGTAAGTAGTTGCATATGATAGGTTAGTCTAGGCCGATAGTAGAATGTATAGACAGGTTAAATCTGAGGTAATCTCCAGGCCAGAATTGGCCAAGGTGCCTTTAAGAAAAGGTTCAGATTCATTGACAGAACACATGGTTTCATGTAGAAGGTATAATATTCAAAATGTGATAGCAGGAAAGGCTTGCCTATAAAACCAGAGCGTTGCCACCAGTGGTGTAGCTGAAGAGATAAGCTGAACCAGAATAACCACTCAGGTTCTGAACCAGAGCCTGAATGGCGCAGCATACTAATGCTACTGTTAAAAGTAGTATTTAGTTTCCAGCTGCCTGCAATTACTGCGAGTTCAATTCTCACCAGTCTCAAGGTTGACTCAGCCTTCCATCCTTTCTAAGGTAGGTAAAATGAGGACCCGGTTTGTGGGGGCAATAAGCTGACTTTGTATAAAATATACAAAGGTATGAAGGCTATTGCTTAACACATTATAAGCCACCCTGAGTCTCCAGAGAAGGGTGGCATATAAATCAAAATTAAAAAAATATATATCATAAGCTGTATAGAAAGGTAGGCTGGTTGAATTAATAACATTTTGGATCACACAATTAGATAATAAAGGAGTTTATAAGAGTGATTAATTCACTGTGGTATAATGTCTGCATGGGTGTGGTTATGAGATGTTTTATTCATAATGTGGCTTAGTAGCAAATTTGTAGTGTTGTTTCCTGATTGGTTCCTTTTCCAAGAGGTGGGAACGATGTGTCTTCTAAAACCATCAGTCTAAGAAGCTTGTTTTATTTTACTAATGAACAAAAGAGAGGTAGAAATACAACTGCAAGAAGGGATCGACACAACCTCAACATGGATAAACATAACAATTAAAAAATGGAAAAAAGAAAGAAAAGGTCTGGAAATTATGTTACAAAAGAAAGAAAAGGTCTGGAAATTACATTTTATAAACAGACAATTCCAAAACCTTTGAGCAAATCTTTGTCTGCTTCTTCGCGGAAAAAGATTAATTCAACATGGCTCTGCAATCCAGTCCTGCATTTCAGGTGTAGACTGCTCCTTCCAGTGTAATACTTTAGCCCACTCCCATATTTATTTATATCTTTAGAGCTATCAAACACTGGTTATTATAACCAAGAAGAACGTATATCTGTTAGCATACAGCAAGCATCACAGACTTGTATTAAGAATCTAGTTGATAGTGTGACATTCATCAAAAATGGTTCACAACAAAACTATGGGAGTTGATGTTGCAACTCCTGAGTTACATTCCAACAAAAGGAAGATTATAACCAACTCTTATCAAGATTGACATTTGACACTAATCGAGTGTATCTTCTGAAGGCAGGCCAGTCCTTAGAATTTAGGACCAGCCCATTTCCGAGCAAAAAAATCAGAGCATCAAAACTAGTAACTAGTTTTCTTACAATTGATCCCAAAGGATGACAAAGTTAGGCATACGGTCCATTTAAAAAATTAACAAGAAGATTAAATGTAGCTTCAAATAATTTTCAGTTGTATCTTTCCCATGTCTTGAACACAAAGGAGAGATAAAGTAGAACCTCTGGTCATGAACACTTCTGACCAAGACCAAATCAGGTTCCAACCAAAAAATTCACAATATTTTTTCGCGGCCAATTTCCCCTTCCATGCCATTTTTTTTTTTTTTGGTAAATGCCAAATTTCCAAAATCAGGCTCGATTTTCGACCAAAGTTATGGAACGAATTATGGTCATGACTAGAGGTTCTACTGTAATTAAGAACAATGTTCAAAGTTTGACTAATACTAGATTTAACAGGATTTCCTCCCAAGAATTATACATTTCAATGCTTTGTTTAATAGTGATCATGGGAATTAATGTGCTCTTTCCTTTCTCTTTCTCTTTCTCTTGCCTGGGCAGGGGGTTGGACTAGAAGACCTCCAAGATCCCTTCCAACTCTGTTATTCTATTCTATTCTATTCTATTCTATTCTATTCTATTCTATTCTATTCCATTCTATTCCATTCCATTCCATTCCATTCCATTCCATTCCATTCTTAAATTGTATAGGTCTTAATTGGAGACCTAACCAGATCGCTTGAAGTTCACTGAGTTGATTCTTCATCTGTCTTCTATCCATTCTTGTGACAGAATTTGAAGAATTTAAATAGAGCACCTCATTCTCTATTTCCAACATTTGACTATTTCAGGGATTTGGACTGACCCTTAACTTTTATTTGTTTTAAAACACAGAAAGGTCTGTATTTAATGGGTTTTGATTTAATGGATTTTGGATGCAGTGGACAAATTTGAATCCATTCTAATGTTATGGACAAGATTTTATTCTTTCTGGAAAAGATTAGGAAAAAATATGGGGAAAATGCATGGATATGTTAGGAGTGTGTGTGTGTATGGGTGGGAGGAGCCAAAGTGATTGCTATTAGTGATTGCTATTGTTGGCTATAATTTTTTATTATACGCAAAGGGCTCATTTGAAGATTTTTGCATTTGGATTTATTACTCCTTTACTTGTACTGTTATTTTAATATTTAATAAATCAACTGCATTATGACCTCATCATAGCTTTTCATAGCATAAGTTTGGTAGAAATGTTTTATTTGTGTGTATTTTTACACACACACACACACACACACACACACACTATTGTAGCAAAGCAAGTTAAAAGTGGGCTTAGTTTAGAGGTGGGTTTCAGCAGGTTCTGACCAGTTCTGGAGAACCAGTAGCGGAAATTTTGAGTAGTTCTGACTGGTCCCGTCCCCATCTATTCTCTGCCTCCCAACTCTCAGCTGATCGGGAGAAAATGGAGATTTTGCAGTATCCTTCCCCTGGATTGGGGAGGGAATGGAGATTTTATGGTATCCTTCCCTTGCCATGCCCACCAAGCCATTCCACGTCCAGCAAGCCACACCTACAGACTGGTTTATAGAAATGTTCTATACTTTTGGACATTTTTATTAATGACCTGAATGAAAAGTGGAAGAAATGGTTAGCCAGTGTTTAGAGAATATCACAATAGCTCTTAATTTTATGAAAATAAAATTGAAAACAAGAGAGTTGTGTTAAGTTTTAAGAGAAAGAAATTTAGTAGCGGGAAGGGCAACATTTGAACAAAGGGATTGGAAATCAAATGCACAGATCAAGAATTGGAGCTGTGGGAATAATATTTCTACTATATTCTGCATGAAGGTTTTAACAAAAGAATTCCATCAATCAAATTTTGTTGGGGATGCTTTAATTGAACAGGGGCTGACAGCCTAAATACCCATTTCCAATGTGTTTTATGTTATATTAAAATAGTGAGAGAAATTTTATAAAATATTTAATAATAAGTGCACCCTGTCTGCTCAATGTTTCTTTAGTTGTTTGTTGTAAATGAAACATGAATGATGCTGTATGTTTATTCTTTACATGGTTAATATTATGCTTTAATATCATCCTTTTTCTTCCCTTCCCTTTTCTCTCTCTCTGGAAACAAAAATCACAGCAAACTATGGGCCAAATCCAATTTGCAAAGGTTGTTTGTCTTGCTCAAAAGACAATGGATGCATCAGATGTCAACATAAGTTGTTCTTCTTTCTACGAAGAGAGGGAATGAGACAATATGGAGAATGCTTGAATTCCTGCCCATTGGGGTATTATGGTCTTCGAGCCCCAGACATGAACAGATGTTCAAGTAAGTTTTCTCTGCTTAATGTTTTGAATTCTAAAATTCACTCACTTATGGCTTCATTCTGAAAATGATGGAGTGCCTAAAACTGAAACTTTCATAAATTATTACGACGCATTATACAATTGTAACACAATCTCCAGTTATGTCATATGACACAATGAACACTGCTCAAAAAAATAAAGGGAACACAAGCAGAAGACATCTGAGATCTGAATGAATGAAATAGCCTTATTAAATACTTTGTTCGTTACATACAGTAGTTTTGTGTTCCCTCTAGTTGTTTGAGCAGTGTATAAACTACTGTATGTAAAGAACAAAGTATTTAATAAGGTTATTTCATTCATTCAGATCTCGGATGTCTTCTGCTTGTGTTCCCTTTATTTTTTTGAGCAGTATATAAATTGATGTATTTATCTATTCCGTGTGCAAAACCAATATACTTATTTCTGTTTTGTTTTAATCTGCTATTGCATTGTTTCCCCTTTCTTTCTTTTAGACTCTTTTGTAATTCTGTTTTAGATACTTTTGATTTATGTGGGTTTTGGTTCTGTGTATGTATTCATTTCTGAAATACCACTGCTCCCCCAGCATGTGGATGCTCCTCTTGTTAACTTCACTGATTTTCCTTGGGAAAGTGAGAATTGGGGGGGGGGGAATGTAAAGTCAGAGACAGACGACTGAAGTCACCTGAAATGGAGAAGTTATGCAAATAAATCCATAGATAGTTTTAGTATACTATAAAGGACAACCAACCATAAATTGGATTGTGTAATAGTTGGTGGAATGAACCCCAAGGAAGTCGTTTCCTAGATTTGATTTAATTAGATCATGCAATCTTGTATTCTTTGCAGAATTTTCAAAGCAAATCTCTGAAAGTAATAATATTAGCGATAACTCCCATTGATTTCACCATGTAACTTCATGTACAGGTAGTCCTTGATTTACGACTCTTATGGCAGCCTTGGAAAAAGTGACTTATGACTTACTTGCAGTTTTGGTCATTGCACTACCCCCCCCCCATGTCACATGATCGCAATTCAGGGGCTTGGCAACTGGCTTTCATTTATACCCCTGCAGTCATGTGGTTGTGATTTGCAACCCTTTTTGCCAATTTCTGGCAAAAAGCGCCCATTGGGAAGCTGGATTCACATAACAATCACATGATTTACTTAATGATAAACAAATTTTTTTTTTTTAGTAAAAATGCATCTGAGTTGACTTTTACAACTGAAATTCCAGTCCTAATTGTGGTTATATGTTAAAAGTATTTAGACCTGATGGTTAGTAGCTTATTTTAGATTTAACCTCTTCCTGGCTCCTTGGGTTCTCAACTTCAGTTCACTATTAGGAAAATCATTAATATAATCATTAAAGTATCTGAGCCAGGGGTGAAATGCTACCGGTTTGCTCCGGTTCAGGCAAACCGGTAGTGATAAAAACTACTGGTTCAGGTGAACTGGTAGTAAAAAAAAAGCTACCTGTTCGGTCAAACTGGTAGTTAAAAAAAGCTACCGGTTCCTCTGCACCAGTATTTCTGACAATCAGCTGTACCGCATGGTTTAGCTTTGCTAGAAAGCAGGAAATCCTGCTTTCTGGAGAAGCTAAATCGCACAGCACAGTTGAACCCTCCCTCTCACTGTTCTACTTACCCAATCCTCCTTTTGGCATGCACCACACATGCGTGCACACACAGCGTGCATTTGGTGCTCACTGTACATGCGCGGCCAACGAACTGGTATCAAACCGGTTCAGATTTCACCACCAGCATAAAACATTAATTGGCATTTTCTCATTTACACTAGAAATTGGCTAAAGCTTGATAGTGATTTTAAAATGTTAGGCTAAGATAACACTGTAAATAAAATAAGAGTAGCAGAGAATCACGAAAGGATTCTCTGATTTTCAACAGTAATGAGGATGGTGATGATTATGATCATGTGTCTTTATCTCTGCAGGTCGAAAGAGCTAGTGAGAATATAAAAAAATCAAAATCTTGCCAGTTTTGTATTTTAAGGCAGAAGATTCTTAAAATGAATGTGAAATTGAAATAAGAGACTTTCCTTTTAGGAACACAGGATAAGGAACTTGGGGAAAAAAATCTGGAACTTTGTTGTTATACATAGTGATTGCAGCTGGAAGCGAGTTCCTGTCACTTGTCCCAGCTCCTGCCAACCTAGAAGTTTGAAAGCATGCAAATGCAGGTAGATGAATAGATTCCATATATGAGCACAGAATGGGACAACTTGCCATAGCCAACTCGCTGATGGGCAATTTAACAATTCTATTTAATTACTTAAAATAAAGAAAAATATTTTAATTTTTGCCATTCACATTTCATTCTGCCCTCCTTTTGTATCCTTTCTTTAATAATTCTATTCCACCATTTCTTTGATATTAGTGTAACTCTTGGCCTGCAGTGAGTTGTCTTGTGGCGAGTTGTCCCGCAGTGAGTTGGCCATGGCAAGTTGGCTGTGGCTAGTTGGCCAGGGCAAATTTTCATAGACCCATATGAACATGCAAGAAGGTAACAGCATTCTGTGTTTCACCATATGCTTTTTGCTGCGGCATGATGTCATGCTGGCCACATGACAGTGGAAATGTCTCCAGGCAACACTGGCTCTTTGGCTTAAGAAATGGAGGTGGCCACCACCCTCTAAAGTTGGACACGGCAAGTAGGATAAAACCTGCAGGGACACCTTTTACCAACTGTAAACACCAGAATCCTGATAGTTTTGCTGGATAATAGCTTTTAAAATAAAATATCCAAATACTATATAAAGTTATACTTATAAAATCAGTTACAGTAGATCAATTACATCTCGGTATCTTGTTACTCAGTTTTGAAACAGCTTGGTTTCTGGAAGGCAAAACAAGTAAGGGTTAACCTCAATTTTAAGTTTAAAAATATCCTTTAAATAATATATATATATTTAATATATTGGTGGACCACCAATTCAAATGTGAAGAATAGAAATGAGAAATCTATTTACCTTCCTGTTCTTTCAGACATCAATTTAGAAATGCCTTTTCTAAAACTCAAGAGAGTAGAAAGCATGTTAGATCCATCACATATTTGCAGATTTGAAACTGAAATGATTTGCTAATATTACATTTTTTTATCATTCTATTAAACTGTATCTAATTCAAATACAAAGAAAATGTCCATAGGATTTCAGCCAAAACCCCCCACAAATGTTTGGTCTTTCTCTCTCTCTCATTCTCTCTCTCTCTCTCTCTATATATATATATACATTTAAATATCTTGTAACTATTAATATTTGAAGGTTTGCTGGATTGTGTCAGTAAAATATGCATGAAATCTCTCTGACTTTAATCTCTCTGGATTCAATTTAGACAATATATGAATTTAAGACAATTTTATATTTGTGAAAATGCAGGGCAATACCTATAGTACATGCCAAAGGAAGCTTAGGGAATATTTAATATCTAGCATTTTTATTCATCCTCTACTAATTGCAGAACTTTTCATTTTTTGAAAAATAAAACAATCTTCTTCTTAAAGTTGTTTTAGTCTTTGTCTCTTTGCTGCTAAAATTCTTGGTTGCATTTCTCCCCCTCTTTTTTTCCTTACTTTATGTTTTTGTTTGCTTTTTAATCAGTTTCTTTCTTCTTTCAAACTTCTGTTGTGGCTTGGAACCTATCAAGGAAGGAAAAAAAGTCAACAAAGCTTATCCCAATTCTGCTTTAATTAAAATTATAAAACCATCTTGCATTTCTTCTGATGGTATGACTTTAGACATGGTAACATAGAACAATATTTCTAATATTTATATTTATGAGAATTTGAGTCTAATTAAAGGATTTTCCTTGGGTTTTGATTCAGATGTTTGATACATGTGGTTGACTCGGTGACGTGGAGTGGAAAACTTTCCACTGTTTAATTTTCCACTTTTTGTACATTCATTAGTAATAATGGAGGAAAAAATGCAAATTTGCAAATATAATATTAGGTGTACTAGGCATTTTTAAAATTAGCCCCTTTTCAGTTTTCACTCTTCACGACTATATGAATGAAATCGTTAATTTCTAAGCAATATAAGGGAATGAACATGTCAAATATTTAAAATTTGAAATTGTTTGCCATAAATGATTAGGGGCTTTTTGGTTTGTTTAGTGATTATAGAAGACTGAATGTTTATCAGTATATTTACTTAAAGAATATAGTTTGAGGGGCTTGAATATTTTCCAATGTTAACTCAAAATTTTCCAATTCAGGTTAGCCAGTGTAAAGTAGCCTAATTTACATAGAAAAACATCTGATTCGAGATATTCTGGAAAGCTCACATGTGAATGTAAATATAGTAACACGGTAAAGTGAAAATGGGCTAGCAGGTATTGGATTCCTTTAAAAAAGAAAGCTACTGGACAATGCTATAATCTGAAGTACTCATAAAATATTAATATGATTTTAATTTAATTGAGTAATATTGACAAGAATGGAATACCAAAGCAGTTTCCTGTTGAAGTTTCATTAAGAGGCCCCATACAGTGGTAGGCTGCTGCATGGTCGCAAGGGTTCGGGCGAACCCTTAGCTTTGATCCCTGGCTGGGCCCGCCCATGCACCCCTGTGGTATGCTTTCCATTTATAACTAATTTTCTGGCTCATTGGCTGGCTCAGCTGTGATCCGCGCTGCCCGTGTTGTACTCACCGGAGCTGCCTGAGTTGATTAGTTTGAAGCTCCGTTTCTCTCCCAAAGGGGCGTGTGTGAGCGAAGCAAGCGTGTGCACGCGTGCACTCACAACCAGGGAACCCTTTGTTAAAGTAAGTACAGCCCACTTCTGGCCCCATATGAATGCATATGGCTTGCCTGAGTCAATACTCCGCATACTATACAGAAGTTGTTTAGAGATCTGTCCTGTACTTTTTTTTTAAGGGATAGTCCTGCTATGATATGGCAGATTCTAGATTACGTAAGGTTTATGGTCATTCCTAAATTTCTATGTACAGTATATCTTTATACATAAGCATCTGGGAAGGAAC